CTGAAGCTAAGCAGGTGTGGAGAAGGTGTGGGGCGGGGCGGTCTCAGCTACTGTGGAGGAACAGCCTAATGAGGCACCGAGAGATGAGGCCATGAATCATTATCAGCTCTGCTACATTAAAGTCCCACCAAAATTGCACATCAGCGAAATCAAGGTGCGCCTGCGTTTAACGGGCTCTCAGTGAGAGTGCGTTTTGAATTCTCCCAGAGAAAATGCCCCAGCGGTAACAACATCACGCTGTGTGTTAAAACCTTCATTTTCTCTTGATTAGAACTTTACCCGAAGCAACTACAGCGGAGACGAGTGGAACAAATTAGTACTGCAGTCGCTGCGGCCTCAGTCTGTAGCAATGACTTACCATTAGTTTGATTATCATGAACTGTCCACACCACTAACTCACACTGCTCTTATTCCCAATGAGGACAACATTAAGAGATGTTTCTGCTCCGAGGAGCTCGGTGGCTGCATCGGAGCAGAATCTCTTGTTATGGAGCCCGTCGCCTGGATACCTCTGTGGTAATGAAGGCCATCAATTAGTTTCTACTCTGTTCTCACTGATCTGATAGAGCCGGTGGCACGCGATTTCGATGCTTCACTGGAGCAGGTTTCAGCACTGATGTTCAAATAATAAGAAAAAAAAAAAAGAAAAAGATGTGGCTGAGTTCGCCTGGAGATATGATTACGCTGTCTGTCAATTCCGGCAGCTAATCTTGTTTGAGATGTGTGGTTACACTGGACATGCATTTAACACCCACCCTGCCTACTTCCACCAGATTGGTCACCATGACGATGGCTGCCGTATTCTCCTGCCAGATCATTTTCCAGAAGTCGAACACCGTCTCCTGCATGGGCCCTGAAGAGAGACAAAAGACACAAACGTTGGAGAAAAAAAGCAACGGAAAGTCAGAGCCTGGACTGATGACATGGTTCCACCATCATCAAAAAACCCAAAATACACACTATTCACAGAAGCTGAGTCAAACATCAAGAACCAAGGGCTAAAGGTCAAGACTAAGACTAAGGGTAAAAGATTTCCACACCTGATCCTCAGTTAAAGAGGACAGATTTGGTTTTTTGCTGATGGCAAGAAAACATACAAAAACATACAGTGTGACGTATGTTGGAAATCTTTACTACCTTTAACCAGAGTTAAAAGTGAATTAATTAAATAATAATATACATTATTTTTTTAAAACAAAAATATATACGTTCTTTTTGTATTTTCTTTGTATTTTGTCATCAACATTCACTGATAAAGCGTCAGGTTCATTTGGAGTCCTTTGTAAGAACTGTTTGATTCTTACGCCACAGCAAGAAGCTTAAATACAGATAAAAACAAGAGAACAAATTAATCACCAATATGGGAAAGAGACTCACGCTGAAGCTGTGTGTGTGTGTGTGTGTGTTCATTCATCACAAACCTTTTCACCAAATTGAACTCAAACGTGTCCAGTGACCATTAAGAGAACTGAGCCGTTCATCCAGCATCGCCAATATTTTAAACTTCACTGAGCAAAAGGCTTTGACTGATTGGGATTTAATTATAATTCTGGTTAATTAAAATCATTATTACTAGTTTTAATCAAGAACCACCCGAGAAAAAATGACTTCTGACAAATTAATTAGTAGATGCAAATCTGCCTTCTCCTGTGTTGGCCTGGATTACCTTGAGATATGGAGAATTATGCAGAGACACACACACACACACACACACACAAAGACAAAAGTGTTTTCTACTGAGTCATTTGTGTATTAATTCATAAATAAATGCAATTACATTTGGACCCTGAAGACCTGTTCAAGGCCGGTCACTTCAAAACTCTTGAACCATGATTAACATAATTTACAATTTCAAACAGTAGACTGTAAGTACCAAAGTAACAGGAGTAATAACAATAACAATAATAACAATAATAGTAATAATGCGACTTTTACTGCAGTGTGGCTTGGCACATCTGAGAGGTACTTTAAATACTACTGGATGAACAGCACTTAGTTTGCCCTGAGCTTAAGGCTGTTCCTTAATAAAACACAACATTAACTTCTCATCATGGAGCATGTGTCATATTATAATGGAAAATAAAAAAGTAATTATTCTTTTTGGCAAATTTCCAAATCTGCATTTTTCTAAAGCAATTGTCAATACTAGGTATTCATGTTGTACTTTGAATAATTGTTTTTTTATCTTATTAAAATAATTCTGTCCTTGTCCGTGATACAAATTGATGATTTTTCAGTTTCGGTGTA